TCGATTCCTTTTGAACTCAACATTGGTATCTCTTCGAACACTCAAAAAAAAAAAAACGCCGGTCAAACTCTTTCAAACACAAACTTTGTGCCTCTTCGTACCATCAAACATCACCACCCACCAATATCAACCTTCACCTATGATCTTGAGTAGTAGTTGTACACTTCCTGATCTTTGAATCTTGAAGCAATCACAACTTGTGGTAATCATTTTCAGAGCACTCAATACCTATCCTCCCTATGCATGCATTCCACGTCGCGGTCGCGGGAAGCTCCATCAAAGAATTAACAGAGCCCTTGAGTCTTAACATGTTGGCTGGTCCTTACCCTTCGATAGAAATCTCTTCAAGCTTTCACCTACTAACCTCTCTCTTCGACCCATCAATCTTTAGAGACTTCGGCAACCTCCTCGAGGTCACTTGATCCTAAAGGAAAATCTTTTCCTATAAATGCTTAAGCAATGCTTCGGATTAGCATTTTGTTGCAGCTCGATCGTTGTTTCAGCTCGTACTACTCGAGCACCGCTTCGGCAAGCACTTCCTCGTGGCTTTAACACATCACTAGCTTTCTTTTTTTTATAAAATAATCCTGGGAGCGTTTTAAGGACTTTTCTAAAGTGTGTGTGTGTGTATATATATAATGGCCCACTCATTAAGTCCAATCACTTGCCAAAATTTTCTCTTGTACCATCTCACCACAAACAACTTTATTTATTTATTTATTTGTTTGTTTTGGGTCACTTGAGATATGAATATTCCCATTGAAATAGCCAGTCCTTTTGCTTCATGGTCCTTTCATTGTGCTCGGGATCTCCCCCTCATTCAAGCTCGTCCATCCGTTGTACTTAGGATTTTATTTTATTTTTGTGCATAGTTCACTTCACTACGGTTAGAGCACCCATTAAGGACTCGGAGCCTCCTGCAGCTTAAGACTTTCTTGCGAGTTTGGGTTTCTTACTAGCATTCAAGTCCTTTCATGAGCACAACCCTCATCATGCATGCTAAAAGTTCCCTGTAGTACCAACCAAACCTCCTCAATTTCGAGGTCAAAGTCCCCTGAAAGCACTTTACCAACAACCTCAATTAAGGAGGGAATCAAATTGAAAGGTTCAAAATGCCAGCTAGGTCCACATTGTCTGGACAAGCGCTCGGCTCTTTGATTGCCAAAGGACGACCGTTCGGCGCTTTGGATGGGCGCTTGGTTGGTTTTAGAAGAGCGCTCGGCGCTTTGGCTTTCGAAGAATGCTCGGCCCTTTGGAAGAGCACTCGACGCTTTGGCTTTGGAAGAGCATTTGGCTCTCTGGTTGCCGAACACTCGTTCGGATGGCCTTTGGACAAGCGCTCTACATTGTCTGGATAAGCGCTCGCATTATCTAGATGAGCGCTCGTTCAGTGAAGGGATGAGCGTTCTGCATGGCTTGGTCTTCAAAAAGCCTTTAAGACTTCCATTTTATTTCTTTTTGGGAAACAAACCTAAAAATACACAAAAACACGAAACTGAAGATAATCTATATAAAATGATTAAATAATGGACTTAACTAATGCAACAGTATTATTGTACTCCGTATCATAATTTATTATCCTTGTTTTCCTTTTCCCCGCTCGATCTTCACTATCTTGACAAAGTTTAATCGAGACTAGCATCCACCTCACAAAATACATCTCTCACTCGAGTATCCCTTATAACTCGAGTGCAACTTCAGATTGGCACCTCCTCGCCTAGTGCCTCTGTGGCTCAGGACAACACCTCTCATTTCTTGAACTGCTCACCAGTGCTTCCTTGTGGCACATCTGATGCGCCCCAATATATCTATACTCCATGCTCAGTTCCCTTTATTTAATTTATTTTGACTCACTGTTAGTTCCTTTTATCAATAAATTTTGTTTAAAAAAAAAAAAAAATAACTGCATCTCACACTGTTTCGTGACTTTACTAGGTGATGCAAATTACACCACATAACCTGAATTGGAATCAAGATAGAATTATTTTTATTAATTATTACATTCCATTACAATCTATTTTCTAACAATATGATTTTGTTGTGCGAGGAACATCTCAACTTGGATAAAATGTAGTCAGTACATTGACTTGAGGTGCACCTATATATAATAAAGGCTGAAGCTCCATGGGATCCCTACGTCATCCAGAGGGAACTTTAAGCACACAGACACTTATGTATATATATAATTATAATAATTGACAGCTGAGCACTAATAAGTCTCGGTTCTGGCTAAAAGAAAAAAGAACGAGGAGTTCCTCTCTACGGATAAACCTCAATGAGTTGATAAAGATCCTCTCTACAAATATTTTCCTTTTACATTCAGTCTTTTGCTCGAGCTCCCTCCTCGCAGCTTTGAGCTCTCTCCTCGCAACCTCAAGCAGGGGTGCAAAATGTTGATATACGTGCCACGACGTCTGCCCAAGTGGCACCATCTCTGAAAATAACCACACTTGGCCAATACTTATCTGGCGTGCTCCTGAAAGGACAGTATCCTCGAGCTACTCGTCCTATAACTGAACTCACTGGCCGAGGAAGGGGTCGCTACCCTTCCTCTTCTGTGGACGCGCCCCGCTCCAGTCGGATGGACCCCTCCTCCCCTCTTTTCCGAGGTTGCTTCCTGCATGCGTAACCTCGGGCATTTTTCTCTCGAGCTCCCTTTAACTGTAAGGACCTCGAGACACAGAGCTGGGATAGAGCCCGCGGGGCCGAGAAGGCAGAACCCCGAGGAAGGGTCTTTCCCTATCTTCAGTTGCGGGAATCTGAGTCTCAGTGATTAGGTGGCTGAGTTCCAAGGAATCGCCTCACTTCGAGGTCTACACAAGGGGGAGAGAATGTTTAACACCTAATAGCTAAGCTCGAGTAATAGAGACCACATAATACATTAAATATATATCTTATATAATGACTATTGGACAAAGAAAGAGCTACCATCATAACCAAATGTCCTTAACTAAGTAAAGCGACCATTGGATAAAGAGGAAGTTAGCTGTCATGACCAACGGTCCTTACCCAAATGAAGTAGTATAAATAGGGCTTAACCCTCATCATTTTAAAGGGGGGGATTAAAATATATATACACCACCCTAACTATAACCATAAGTAATGGTCTCCTAGGACTCGCGCTACCATGGGTGTTAAGCAAATCTGTCTTCTCTCTCTTAATCTCCTCTATGGAGAATCCCTTGTGCTAGCTTGGAGCTCCACTCAGTCTCTGATCTCAGCATCCCCGACAGACGTGGAATGATCTCCTCATCCTATTCACGAACTACCATCAACAAAGGGAAAGCAGTATTTGTGTAAACCTTAACTTTTTCTGTTTTTTTGGATGAATTACCACAACAGTGTTGGAAGAGCACAAGGAGGTCCTCTCTCACTAAATCCTTATTGTTTAGACTCCTACTATTTTGTCTGTCCTGTTTCATCTTTGGTGATGTGATCTGTGTGGTGAATATATATATATATATATATATATATATATATATATATATATGACCTCAAATCATAATACACACACATCATATGATTTGATTCTGAAATCGAATAAAATAAAGGATAATTTTATTATGTGTATGACTTGAATTATTAGGTTATAAGCTTGCTCTTCTCTGTGATTTTTTTAGATCTATTGATTACTTATCTGTTTGAAATCTTGGGGTTACAGAGATGATTGTGTTACCCTCAATTTTTTTTAAAAAAATTGAGGGTAACACAATCATCTCTTTTTTTTTTTTTGTCAGAACTTTTAATTGATTTGGAGCAATCATCACACTGTATGAAGTTCAGAATCAGTAAGGTTTCAATTTTTTGTATTTTTTTTAATTTTTTTCTTTCTAACCTTTTCCTTCTTGGGTTGGAATTCTTTTGTTGAAGTCATAATGAGTTCCTTTCAACTTTTTGTGCTTTGACAAGTGCACATGTAGAACAATTCCCTACTTCAAAATGTTTACAATGTAGAATAAAAAATATGATAAAATTGGCAAGCCTTGTTTATATTTGGTTATTTGATTTCAGAATAACCAAATACTTATTAGTAAATTAATATTTGTTTATATTTGGTTATTTGTTTATATTTGGTTAAAAAAACCCCATAAGCCTTGTGTAGTTGAATTTGTCCCCAAATAATTCCAATACATCCTCAAATACCTTATCAGTAAATTAATTCATTGGTAGGTTTGTCAACTTGTCTGGGATGATTAATATTGTCTATCACCATGTGAATTTGCACATACACATATGCATTATGCCTAGAACCCAACCTGTAAGGTAGTACTTCTAAGCTGGTCATATTGTGTCTATTATGATTTTTTTGCTTCCCATTGTTGATTGATGTAGATTTTGATTTGGGTCTCTGGTGCTTGTATTGTGTTGTAAGTCGAATAATCTTTATGAAGAAGCAAATTTAAGGAGACATCTTTTCATCTGTTGGTCGCATAATAATTCTAAGTACAATATAAAATCCGGGTGTCACCTATTAATTTTCTTCTATTCTATTCTTGTTTGACTCGACATATCTATTGTCAAATTATTAGATATTTGCAAATTAGAATCATGTGCTGTGTTTGTTGTTTTAAGTACAAATATTAGTGTGTACCAAATATTTACATATGGATGCATCCAATAGTTTTGTTCCCACAATGTAATGGAGAATTGATTCGAGAAAGAGACTTTCATTTCCTCTCTCTTATTTATGTTATGGTATTGAATGTTGAATTTTAGGAAAAACTAGGAAATTCTCTGTTTTTCTAACGGATAAAAAAAAATTCAAAATGTCTTTCAGATTCAGCTGAAGGAAAAGGAAAATATAAACGATTAACAAAGAAGCCACTAAATGAAAAAGAAAATTAAATAAAATTCTGATATTATAGTAAAAATTAAATTAATGAAAAAACTCTCAACTTATGCCTTTTCCCAAGGTTCAACTATCCAATATATAATACCAAATAAGCTTACAAAGGGAAGAATGTAGGAGAAATAGCTTATACAAATAATTAAAGAATTACCAAAGCTGCTCCAACGGCTAGTTTGGTTCCAAGCTTCTTGGCACGCTTGCTGCTTTTTTCCTCTTGGTCTCCATGAATTCCCATGGAGTTCCTATAAGAAGTGGGTGACGAGGATCAAAAGTAATCTTCTCAAGATTGACAGCACTCTTAATTAAATACATTGCAAGCTCAACATCATTTGTACGTCCAACAAAACCAATGAATTCCACAACCTTAAGGTACTGATGGGGCCGAGATGTAAACTCAAAATGTTTTCTTTTCCCAAGGGGCTCGCACCATCGCAGCTGTAACAAGGAGGAATGGAGTCATATGGTGGGCAGACTATTTGCATACAAAACCAAATTACCAAGCATCAAATCATAATTGTTCAAGTTAAAATCACGACATTAACCACCATTGGCGAAATCCAATCGCGGTAGACATAAGAAAAGACTGCGTTAGAGAGGAATTCACACTGTTCTTAAAAGTAATAAGTCTGAATCTAACCGGATTAGGTTAGAGACCTCAAGAGGTCCTACTTCGGGAGGAGTTCTTAAACAATCATGAAAATAAAGCAATCTAAGAACATGCAACATATTAAAAGACGAAGGTAGTAAAAATTAAATCAACACAGGAAACAACATAATAATAAACATTCAGTTAAAAAAAAAAAAAAAAAAAAAAAAAAAAAAACTTCAACAATCACGAAAATAGAGCAAGCTAAGCTAAACTTTTTCCTATTAATGGTATTATTGTAATTTTGAAATAGCAATAAAGAGCAATTGATTGGAAAATTGAAAGCTTTAAGCTGAAGTCCAAAACAATCAAAATTTCCATTTCAAAATTCAATCGCAATAAACCTCTCACAACTTAGAAATGAGGTTGTCAAGTAAAATTTATTACCTCAACCACAAATTTAGACAAGAAAGGACATGCCTCTATCAGGGGAGCAAAAACAATAAGGTCTTCATCATCAGCTGCATCAATTATCAACTCCAGTCGCTTGAGTTTATTTAATACAGGAAATTTAGCATCTTCAAGACTATTCTACATAAACCAAAGAAAAAGTAAATTAGCACAGCTAGGCTAAAAAGCAAAAAGAATAAAATAAAAATGAAGAGGAAGAGATCAAATGAATTAGTTAAACTTCCTAACCTCTATCATGCTTGTCATCTGCAGTTTAAGGCTTTCTAGCTGAGAAAGATAGCTTGAAATCTCCAAAAACTTATATATTAGATAATCGCAATACTCACCCCCGATAAACAAATCAATAGGTGGCTTGACATTCTTAAATGGCAGGCTTATTTTTGGTCCGAAGTACTTAAACGACATGAGATTCATTGCAGAAATCTCAATACTTTCCACATTGAAGCAGTGAGATATCTCCAAACGCATCAAATTGAGTGCTAAATCAGGAACTTTCAGATTTACGAGACCATCAGATTCTTTCACAGACAATTGTTCCAAAAATGGACAGTTCATTAAGAAGAACTCGAGAACTTGTCCGGTTACATTGATTCTTGTCAGCAGGAGATTGGTCAAGGAGTTGCAGCTAGCAAACCCATGTAGGTGAGTTGTAATACCATCTGGAATAGGAAAATTGTAATCCTCTTCCTCTCTCCTATACAACAAAGTTTCTGACAAGTCTAACTCAAGCCTTCTAACTCTCTTTTCCATTGCAAAGTTAACCCAATTGTCAATATCAACTCGACAAGTTTCATTAAGATCAAATTCAACTCTGAATTCATCTATAGTTGAAGCTTTGTGCGATTTCAAGACTTGATTAACCCAACTCAAATACAATGGCCTTTCTACTTCAACTTTCTTTTCTCTAAGTTTAATTCCATATCTTATAGGTAAGGAATCAAAGTTCAAACCAGCAATGTAAGTCCACGTGTAGCAGACTTGTTCTTCCAGCTTCTTTCATTGTCAATAGTGACAAGATTGAAACGAGTATAACATCAGGAAGTCCACTGATGTGATCCTCCAAACACAATCCTCCTTTATCATCCTTCTCGCTATTTCAATTAAAGATTAAAATTTATTAATAATAATAATAATTAAAAAAAACTGTGAGATTAAATAAACACCATAGTAGTGTTGAATTTTTGTAACAAATTTTCTTCATTTATTTAAGAATAAAAAATATAAAAGAGATGGTACCTTGCGTTTTGAGCACAACATATTGAGGTGATTTTCTCCATGAGATTTGAACTTACAGTTTTCTACATAATTTAACAAATAAAATCTGCAGAATAGCAGCAAGAAGAGAAGATGAACCGATTAGAGATATAAAACCCAAACAAGAGAGAGAGAGAGAGAGAGAGAGCAATTTTTTGTTGTTGTTGTGTATAAACAAACAACACCAATTTTTGCTAGCTTTATTCGATTGAGAGGAAAAGAGAACAATTTTATAACTTGGGTCTGCACCAACTTGGAATGTAATGTTAAATTGGGTTTCTACCAACTTGGAAAGTAATAATAATATGTTTCCTGTATCTTATTAGGATTAAGCCAACTTGATACCTGTTTAACCTTTTTCAAAAAAAAAAAAAAAAAACATACTACCTCCTCCCAAAATAGTTATCCCCCTTTTCATTTTGGAATGTCCTGAAAAAAAATAAATAAATAAAATTGAATGTACTATTTTTTATAACTTTTCCAAACTATCCTTTTAATTAAAGGATTGAACTTAAAGGATTGAACTAATTACATCGATACAATAAAAAAACTATTAACATTCCACTACCAAAAAAACTATTTGAATTTCCCATACAAGACTATTGTACTACATAGTAATAATAATAATAATATAAGGCAAGGCCCGGTCCAATTTTATAGACATGGTACCAACTTGGAAAGTAATAATGGGTTTCTAGTAGAAAGTAATAATAATACATTTCCTGTGTCTTATAAGGATTAAGACAACTTGATTCCCCTTTAACCTTTTTCAAAAAAAAAAAAAAAAAACGTAATAATAATAATATTTGGCACGGCCCGGTCCAATTTTAATACGTTTCCGTGTCTAGGATTAAGGCAACTTGATACCCGTTTAACCATTTTCAAAAAATAAAAATAAAATTTGGCACGGCCTGGTCCAATTTTTTTGCGGTCCAAGTAGCAAAAATAGAATACTCACCGGTTTTGGTTTTACTTTTGCTGCAGGTCATATTTGGGAAAAATATACTCGTATATATATTTACTAATAGGCGTATTTGTCAACAGTCATCATTGTTTCACATTAGATCTAGATCTAGTTTATAGTGAATATTATGACGTTTTATTCTTTGAGAGTGTTGGGAAGTACAAACACTCAAAAGTATTATTATGATAACATATTTGGTTCAATTTTTTAAAAGCATCTTCCGAGAATTTTTAACAATTTTTTAGAAAATTATAAAAGATAACTTGTTCTAAAAAAACAGGAAAAAAAAAAAAAATTAAAAAAAAAATAATCTGTTAAAAAAACTATAAGACAGTTTTAAGTTGTAACCTGATCGATGGATCACGAAATCCGATCTACAAGAAGGAAAAAGAGTAACAAATTTCATGATGAAAGCACAACTTACAAGATCTTATATTGGATTCGCACTGCAGACGCCTCGCACTCGCACCTTAAAAATCGTGTTTGAGAGAGACAGGGAGTTGTATCTCGTATGCGGAGGCCTCTTCATGTGGTGGTACCAACTTCAATTTTTTGATGAAACCACAACTTACAAGATCTTATAGTAGATTCGCACTGCAGATGCCTCGCACTCGCGATCGCACCATAAAAATGGGGTTTGAGAGAGACAGGGAGTTGCATCTCGTATGCGGAGGGCTCTTCATGTGGTGGTGCTACTGAATTAGCACATCTGACACGCCTGCTGCAGGCTTCTAGATCTAACCTTAAAGGGTTATCATTATGTTCCAACTTTTACAAACCAACGGTTGAGATGCTTTTAAATCTAATGCCTGAAATTAAAACTCATGAGCAATGGTAACTGCATAAGGACGGTTGTCGTGTCAGTAGTCTATTGGCTGCTTATTTAAAATAAATATATATTTTAAATTTGCACCACCCTTTGCAGCAACGACCCACCATTTCTTACAAACCAGTTCACCGACGACTGCCCCTACTCCTACCAGTCATTTCACCTTATTGTACCCCAATTTTCGATCAACCGTGTATAAATATCCGCACTTTTGCTGAAAATGGTGGCAGCCGCGAAGAATTAGGGTTTCGGCGAGGGGACAGAGAGTAGGGGGTGCAGTTCGTGTACTGGTGGCGGACGTCAGGTTGATCTCAACAAGAGGAGGCGATGGGGGAGATGTCGGTGCACAGTAGGTCAGATGGGATGGTGGACTTGGTGATGGGGCGGAGGCGCGTGAGGTGGTTGATGGTGTGGAGCCGTTGGATGGTGGTGGCCGGAGAGAGGATGTTGGTGGACAACATAGCCACGAGGAGGAGCAGATTTAGACCCATTGTGTAGCCATGAGGAGGACACTATAACTTGTGTTTGAGCTCAATTGGCTCTGCTTTTGAATGAATGAAGGATTTATATAATTTGAGGGTAATTTATGGGCACTTACCTAGCTTATAGTTTGATGTTATACTCACATTTTTCTGATCCATATAGTTTAACAGTTTTTGAAACTTCTGATAAATGAATAGAATATTCTTCTGCAGTTGAAATAAAAAAAAAATCTCTGCATTTGAGGCTGGGATTACCTTTTGATCTTCCTCCCCTAAGGTTCGCCAATGCCAATAATTTATATACAACAAACAATAGTGCAAGGAGCAACTCCACACAAAAGGGTAACCATTCAATTTTATATAGGCTACATTTTGTGTAATCCGTGGTTGTTTGTGCACTAAGCTGTTCACATCTCTCTATGTTAACAACATGTTCTCTTCGCTTAAGGATGTATTAATAAGGAAAAGGCTAAGCATCTAGACATGCATCAAGAGGCAATCCCCAGCTATACAAAAAATCCCACCAGTGAATATCAACAGAAGCCTTTGTTCTATGAACCAAACAATAGCCACACCCCTCAAACCACAAAAAATAAACCGCGATACCACAGCAATTGGAGCAAATATAACAGGTATTCAAGAGGTAGCAGAGCAAAACGATGAAACTCCATTTTAGTTTTATGTAATGAGATCTTAAAAAAGATATAGTTTTTGGCTTCTGATTTTTATTTCATTAGTTATTTCTGTTTACGATGACTATATGTCTATATGGAATATTTTATAAATTAAGTTTCATTAGTTCATTAGAAACTTTCCCGAGTCATATGATTTTATTGTCTGTGTAGAAATTCCTCCAAATGCCACTCTCAGTTCATGCTTAGTTTGTTATATAGTTTTCGTCACGGTTACGATCAAGAGCTTAAGTACTTCAACTTAAATTGGCTTTTAAGCCTTGCAGAAGTATAGTGTATGGAAGTCTCTCTCTCTGTAATCTACACTTTGGCTTTTATGTTTCCTCAGGATCTTATTGTTGGAGTAAATTTTATTACCGTGGAGATTGAAACTACGCTCGCATTTCAGATTCTTGATTTCAACTTTATTTGTATGACTGTCGCTTTCATAAGGTAGTTGTTCATTTTTAATTATGCTGCCTTGCTGGTTCCAATCAACAAGCTAGGGATTGGTGAAATTTTGGGTTCCTTTAACAAAATTCTACACGCTTGGGATGGAGAATGCTGTTAGAAAAAGAGATGCTGCACTTTTAGTTGGTCAGATAAAAGCTAAGCCTATTGGGTTTTACCAGCATTCTGTTCAATGCAAATTTACTGTTGCTGGTTAGGCATAGTAAGGTTTTCAAGGCTTATGTAGAATTTCATAATTTATTCATGAAGTCCATCTTTTGTTTCGGATAAATTTGATTCTAGATTGGCTTTAGTATTGTTGTTGGCTTAGGCTGAAGTATGCTCTTCTCCTTTCAAAAGTGTTATTCATAAATTTAATTGCCAATTGCATATGGATTAAAAGAGTGAGATTAATTAAGATACAATGCTATAAATAAAGAAATTTGGTATTATTTTATAATTTTTTAAATATGCTCTTATTTTATTATTATTATTTTATTTATTTATTTATTTATTTTTATCTTAGGGCATTGTTCAGTCTTCAATTTGAAGAATTTTCTTTATTTGCTCAATTTGAAAAATGTAAGTTTTTTTTTTTATAACATGATGGAAAAAAACATTTAACTAAACATTATTCAGAGAGATTTTATCAACTGTAACATGGATGCTGTTGAATTCTCCAGGAAGTTGGTGAAGAAACTCCGAAGTTGTTACGGACCTCGGGCGGATGATGAGAAAAACATTGTTGCACGTTTTCCTCTTACCACAAGATAAAGTTTAATTTGTCAGTAAATCTTTGAATTTTTTATTTTTTTTTAGTCAAACCGTCCATCAACTGTTAGGGACGACTATTTTTTGTGACAAAAATGTCCTTTTATTTATGTAATTTATAAATATATATATAATGTTATACATGGAATTTTTGTTTTTATATTATGACCATAATAAATAAACATTTTCTGATGTTATTGAATATTGTATTGGAGTATTGAATTTAAGGAAAATTTAGAAAATTCTCGGTTTTTCTAACAGAAAAATTAATAGAAAAATGTTCGAAGAGAAACTCCAAAGTTTATTCATGGAAATATAACAAAGAAGTTTATTCAGTAAAATAAAATAAATAAAAAATATTTTCCCAAAGATGACTTATACATACATATAATTAAAGGACTATCAAATCTGTTCCAACAGGAAGTTTCTTTCCAAGCTTCTTGGCCCTCTTTCTAGCTGCTTTTTTCCTCTTGGTCTCCATGAACTCCCAAACCCTTCCTATATGAAGTGGATGGCGAGGATCAAAAGTAATCTTCTCGAGATTCACAGCACTTTTAATTAAATACATAGCAAGCTCGACATCATTTATACTCCCAACAAAACCAATTAGTTCCACCACCTTAAGGTAATGATGGGGCCGAGATGTAAACCTCCCTTGTTTTTTTTTACGATAGGACCCGCACCATCGCAGCTGTAACAAGGAGGAATGGAGTCATATGGCGGGCAGACTATTAGCATACAAAATCAAATTACCATCATAATTAATTGTTCAAGTTAAAATCACAACATTGCTAGAATCAATGGAATAGCCACCACAGACTCCAAAGAAATCTAACACCATGTTGTTGTTATACATATGACTGAATGCCATTAGCAAACAAAACCAAATTACCAAGCATCAAATCATATCATAACTGTTGAAGTTAAAATCACAAGTTCACAACATTGCCAGACCTGATGGAATAACCATCCCTGGCGAACACGTTAGACATAAGAAAACAATGTATTGTTTTGAAAAGCAACAAAACTAAATCTAACGGAACAAGGTCTGAGACCTCGAGAGGTCTAACTCTTGGAGGAGTTCTTGAACCATCACGAGGATAAAAGCAATCTAAGAATACGCATCGTATTAAAAGATCATGTAAAACTCCAAGTAAATATTAAACCAACACGGGAACAACAAAATGATAAATATTCATTTAGAAAATAGTAAAAAAATTAGAAGAATAAAGCACGCTAAACACTTAATGGAACAACCACCACACGCGAAATCGAACACGTTATACATAAGAAAACACTGCATGAGAAATGAATTCAAATTGTTCTGAAAAACAATAAGACTAAATCTAACTAAATAAAGTCAGAAACCTCAAGACATCTTACTCTGGGAGGAGTACTTGAACAATCATGAAAATAAAGCAATTTAAGAACGTACCATGTAAAACTCAAAAAGAACAACAGAATGATAAATATTCATTTAGAAAATACTTGAACAATCAGAAAAAAAATACCACTTACTGGTAATATTGTAATTTTGTAATAGCTATAAAGAAGCAATTACGAAAGTAACTCCAGAAGAAGACCAAATAAATCAAAATTCCCATTTGAAAATCCAATTGCGAAAGCAATAAACCTCACAGTTTAGAAATGCATGTTGTAAAGTAAAACCTTACCTCCAACACAAATTCAGACAAGAAAGGACATGCCTCTATCAGGAAAGTAAAATCCATAAGGCTTTCTTCATCTCTTGCATTAACTATCAACTTCAGTCGCTTGAGTTTATTAAATACGGGAAATTTGGCATCTTTAAGATAAACCTGAATAAATCAAAGAAAATGTAAATCAGATTGATAATTATGTTAAAAAAATTATAAAATAAAAATGAAGTGGAGGAGATTAAATGAATAGTTAAACTTCCTAACCTTCCTCATGGAGGTCAGATGCAATGTAAGGCTCTCTAGCTTAGAAAGATAGCTTGAAATATCCAAAAACTTATATATTAGAGAAAAGCAATAGTCACCCCCGATATACAAATCCGCAGGTGACTGGACATTCTTAAATGGTAGACTTATTTTTGGTCCGAAGTACTTAAATGACACGAGATTCGTTGCAGAAATCTCAATACTTTCCACATAGAAGCAGAAAGTTATTTCCAAACACTTCAATTTGAGTGCTAGATCAGGAACTTTCAGATTTACAAGGGTGTCAGATTCTTTCACAGACAATTGTTCCAGATTTGGAAAGTTAGTTAAGAAGTACTCGAGAACTTGTCCAGTTACATTGACGTATGTCAACAGGAGATTGGTCAGGGAGTTGCAGCTAGTAAACCCAAGAGACAATGAATGCAAGTGATTTGTAATACCATCCAGGTCAGGAATACTGTAATTCGCTTCCTCTCTACTATAGTGGGTTAATTCTGCCAAGTCTAACTCAAGCCTCTTAACTCTCTTTTCCATTGCAAATTTAACCCAATTGTCAATATCAAGTCTATAACTTTCCCCAAAATCAAAATGAACTCTGAATTCATCTATAGTTGGAGCTTTGTGGGATTTCAAGACTTGATTAACCCAACCCAAAAAGAATGGTCTTTCTACTTCAACTTTCTTTTGTTCCAATTGGATTCCTTCGATTACACGTGAGGAATCAAAGTTCAAATGAGTAATGTGTGTCCACATGTACCTCCAACTCTTTGATAGGACACTAGTTCTTACAGCTTCTTTCATTGTCAATAGTGACAATATTGAAACGAGTACAACATCAGGAAGTCCACTAATGCAATCCTCCAAACACAACCCTCCTTTATCGGCCTCCTCACTATTGCAATTAAAGATAAAAAATAATAATAATAATAATTAAGAAAGTGTGATAATAGAAACACCACATAATAAATCCACACATAAGTAAAAAGATAGTACCTTGCGTTTTCAGTATAACACATTGAGGTGGGTTCAGTGGTTTTCTCCATGGAAATTGCTTTTACAGTTTTTTCTTTTTTTTTTTTTTTTTTTGTATAATTTAAAAAATAAGTCTGCAGACCCAAGAGAGAGCAAGAGGAGAAGATGAAAAAATAAAAAAATAAAAAAATAAAAAGAAAAAAAGAGAGAAAGAGAGAGTAATTTTGTATATAAACAAACTAAGCACAGAGAAAACGAGAACAACAATTTTATATAGAGAAGAGGGTTGAATTGGGTCTGCACCAACTTGGAAAGTGACGACAATATGTTTCTTACTAGGATTAGGAAATTGTTAGTGGTTTAACCTTAAAAATAATAATAATAACAATTTTAATTTGATATTGGTTTAAGGCAACTTGATAAATTATATTTAAGTCCATTAGTTAGGTCATAATTGTTTCACACCAATAAATCAATCTAACTAGGCCTCTCGATAATTGTTTCAGTTTTGACAAATAGATCTAGCTAGTACGCTGAATAAAAATCATGTTTGGTTCAATGTTTTATAAACAAAAAAACTCTTCAAACTTTTGTCCCTGACAAGAGCAAAAAAGAACATTTACAGAAGAGATTTTCGTAATGAAATCAAAACTTACAAAATCTTTGTTAGATTCGTATTTCAGATCTTGTAAGCGTTGCGCCTTCAGATCCTTGAAACACACACACACACACACACACACAGAGTTGAGAGCTGTATCGCATGCGGATTGGCTCTGCAACCGGGGATATGTGGTGGAACTGAACAGCACAACTGACACGCCGCTGTATGCTTTCTATTTCTATCCTTCTAGCCTCGTAGGGGTTAATTATTATGTCTCAACTATATCAAACCAACGGTTGAGATGCTTTTCAATCTAATGGTTGAGATCAAATCTTATTTAAGTGATGGAGTACATGAATTAGGATTAAGTACACTAAACTCTCCTCAATTCAATTATGATCCAATTGTCAAAAAAAACTTTCCTAAAAGTAAATAAAATACCCCTTAAATTATTACTATTTCGTCTGAAAAATAGTGTTATATTTTGGAAATCATGTTAGTTTAATTTGTGAAAATTTAATTTGTGAGAATGAGGATTTCTTAAAAATTACACTTTTTATAGGACGAAAAATACTTTCTTGTGATATGCCGTCGGCAATGCGCGACGAAGCAAGGAAGGACCGACTGCGAAGAAAGGACTTACCGACGAGCATGCGAGGACGACGATGCACTGAACTTACCGGCAAGCACGCAGGTCTAAAGTGAGCAATGACTACGGAGTGAACCGGCGAGCACGCGGGTATAAACTACAACCACGGAATTTACTGGCGAGGACGCAGGTTTGAACTGTTACCAATGAACAGGCAAGGCACGGACTGAACGGACAAGACATGGAAAATACCGGCAAGCACATGAATTGAATCGACGATGAGAAAGTGGCGACGGAGTGCGAGCAAGGACTATGACGACGAGGAAGTGACAATGTTGCGATTCTGGTGAAGGGGTGGTTGTTGGTTAAGTTTTGTAGATGGGTTGGGTGTTTCGACTGCGATTGGTGTAAGGGTCTTGCGATTGGGTCTTGCGGCTCCTGTAAATGTGTTTAGAGCAATTGGGTCTTGCACATTGTTTAGGGCTGTGCGTTGAAGAAGATGACCAGTGACATAGGGGCATATTGAAGGTCAAAGTGATGAGTTCTAGTCAGCGATTGCAGACCGAAGTGTTATTCAAGTGCGATTTTGATTGAAAAAAAAAAATATCAAATATGAGATTAACCCAAGTATCAGTCGTCAATGATCTGGTTATAGCCGAGATTGTAGCCGTCGTCGCCGATCTAGTGATTGCCGGTGGTGTTGCCGATGATTGGTTGTCTCAGTAGCAAGAAGTAGAGCAGAGCTAGGTTTGTTGGAGAGGGAGAAACAGAGTGTTTTGTGTGGGCTATCTATCTGTGTTGGGCGGCGCAGAAATTTCAGGTGGTGGATGGGCTCCCATTTTTCCTGTCGCAAGGTCCCTACCCGTGGATTTTGTATACATATAACATGTGTGTGCATATAAAATTTGTATACATATAACATGTGTGGTATTCGCTATTTGCATTCACTATATACCAAGCTTTCACTATATTCCACAGATAGTGGCATACACCAAGCTTTCAAAAGGCTTTCACTTACACGACGCACTTGTTTTTACGAGGACTTAAATTTTTTGATTAGAAGGCAACGCCCAGCAAGTGGTATTATTCATTGTTAGTCCACGAAAAATTGTATAATTTATAAAAAATTTAAACGAATGAGTTTTACCGTATTTAAAGTCTCACGAGCGATATAATTAGAATTTGAATCAGAGCGCGCATAGCATAAAAATGAAAGCGTGAGAAAGATTATGTAACATAAAAATGAAAGCGTGAGAAAGATTATGTAACTTAGGGTGAGAAAGATTATGTGACTTAGGGCGCATAAAAATGAAAGCGTGAGAAAGATGACGTAAATAATTGTAAGCCAACTTGACAAGTAACTAATATAATATTTGAAGGTATCTTCTCAATGTACAAGAGTGTTTGTATGTGCAAAGTTAAGAAATTTGAATAAAAAAATTAAAAAATATCCTTCTTAAAAGTACATTTGAAGTCACTAAAGTATTTTTAGTGTATAAAGTAAAAATTTGATTGAAAATGAGAACAGTGTTTTTTTTAATGTATAAAGTAAAAAATTTTGTTAATGTATAAAGTAAAAAAATTTGATTGAAAATGAGAATTCAAAAATAACGTTCTTAGACATATAAAATTACAAAAAAAGAAAAAAAGGAGTTTCTAATTAAAAATAAATATAAAAATTTAATTAGAGCTTTCAATTAAAAATAACCAATCTTTTCCCTTAACGTTATACCTTGTCAACTAAAACATCACTAGGTTAAGAGCCCTCCTAAAAGAGGTTTATGCCGCTATTTGAGGCGAGCAAACGGTATTCTTTAGTAAAAGGCGAAAAAATAGTTCGCGTTGTGCTCACCGCGCGGCCGCTTGATTTTTGTTGGAAAATTAACAGCTTCTTAAAAAGCCGCTCCATCTCTCAACGCCTCTCACTTCTAGTCGATGTGGGACACATACATACCCCTCTTTTACTACCACCACTGCTATTCACTCTTAATCACTGTCTTTCTCTTCTACATCAGCTTACCCATTATGATTCAACTCCTCAAATCTTCTGTCTGATCCACACCAGAAATTACTATGTTGTTCACACACACACACACACACATATAGGTATTATATATGTGTGTGTATATAAATTCTTGCATATATATTTTACCACGGAGAAATGGATTGATGAGCTAATTCTTCGGTTAGTAGAACTTTCTATCTACTGAAACTACAGGAATTATTTCACACCCTTGGTTATATTTAACAAAACCTCACATTTGTATGTATAATTGTGTTAGATGTTCTGTTATTCCTCCTTTTATACGTGATAAATGAAAGCTGCAAAATGAATTTTTATAAACTATACTTCAAAACTGAATTTCCTTTGAATTTAGTAATTGCCCATTTCACAGTAAGTTTTGAAAAGCCACCCTTCTGCTATGAACATTTGTTTGATAAGCCAAACAAGTTAACAACCCTAGGGAACTAGCACTTGCAATGAAGAAGACAATGCTGGGATTCAATTCACTTTCTACGAAACAGACATGAAACCGCGAAAATAATATACCTTCCTCAGCCATTCTATCTTACCTTTCTATGTTGGCTGATGAGCCAGGCCTGTTATTATGTGATGGTGCCACTACTGGCTCAGGGAGATGCGCGGAATTCAAGAAATGGTGGGGATGAATAAAGATTTTAGTATTGAGAATCACGAAGCATCAGAACGGATTTTGAAGGATTGAACTATGAAAAATTCAGATGGTTGATTCACTTGTTATTGCAAAAAATCTCAATGCTTCCTTTGTTATACCTAAGTTGAGTTCAATTCATAATAAGTTGAACTCCACTCCTTGAGCCAGACAGAATTTCATCTCAAGTTTTAGTTCTTCTTCAATTTAACAAGTAAAATCAATTTCACTGCAGAAGTGACTCTTATAGAATATGCAACTACTTAATTTGGGGAGAGCTAGAAGGGGTTAGTTAGGAGGTTGAATGAAAGGCCTGAGCTGAGTACTAACAGGAGGGATTCAAGTACAACGTACCTGAATTCACGCGTAAGCATTAAGCACACCGGTGTCATTTTAAGATAGATTGAACGTCCAAATCGACACTAACAATTTGTTTGCCATTTGAGAGGATATGCTGCTCCCTGTGATTGTCTCCATCTGTGTCCACACGAAATATCCATTCACATTTGCTCCCTTCCTGCACTCCCACAAAACTAACACATTTACTTGATCATGATTCATGAACTAGTTTGGACTCTGGACTGGTTTGTTATAAGCCACTAATATTCTATAATGGAGCATATTATGAGTTTCATTTCTCTATCTGCAGTAAAAACTAGCCAATGAGTAAAGTAAGACACCTATCCCACAAATGCATGTCACAGTGCTTGTCCTGAGGTCTCCATTAGTATATGTAATTATTGCATATATATTTTACCAAGGGGAGAAGGATTGATGAGCTAATTCTTCGGTTAGAAAAACTTTCTTTGTATTGAAACTATAGGAATTGTTTCTGAAATTTGACATCCACTCCTTAAATCTTCCTCATCAAGTATTGCTTCATCTTGCATCTCTGTCTAATCCAAACCAGAAGTTACACCCAACACCCCAATTCTCAAGTACTCACCTTTGCAAGACTAAATTCTTTCACATCCTTAGCAATATTTAACAAAACCTCGTGAGTCATTTCTTCCGTGATGAACTGTTGGCACCAGTCCTACATTATTTTTTTGTCTCTTTGGACAGAGCAGAAAGGGGGCTCGGCAGGAAGCCATTTCACAGTATTCCTATTAAACAGTAAGTTTTGATAACCACACTTGGCTATGAAAATTTGGTAAGCCAAATATCCCTATGGAACTGGCATTTGCAATAAACACAATACTGGGATTCACCTCACCACCTACAAAATGACATGAAATGACATGACACCATGCAAATAATACCTTTCTCAGTCATTCTATCTTGCTTTCTATGTTGGCTTATTTTTTGGACACTCATGATGATGAGCCAAGCCTGTTAGACTGTGTGATGGGACCATTTTCAGTTCATGCAGATGCCGGACATTTGTCTGAGGAAAGTAAATTCTGGAAGTGTCCCGATGAAGAAGGTTATGTTATGAGCCATGCTCAGATTTTAGTATCGAGTATTGGGAAACAATAACAAGGATTTAAAAAAAAAAATTTGAACCAGCATAAAATTCTCGAAGCTGCTTTGGTTGTACCTGTTTTCAGGAGATGATTATTGATAGGTAATAGAACACTTGGGAAATTCGATATGTTGAGCTTGTTGCATCATATTTAATAGAATTAATGATCGAAATTCAGAATGGGATGTCTTGCCAGTTTAGGCCTGGAATAGGATGACATTATCAGAAAGGATTAGAATCTGATTTGAATTTCTCTCTGAAATGTGTCCTCTATGTGCACCAGAAATGACGAGGTAAACCGGAAACTGAAGTATTTAAGCATAGTTGGCTGAACTTCATAGTTTCTATCCTTCTCATTTTCATTTTTATGTTTTTTGTTTCTTCTAGAATTTTATTAGCATTATACTAAGATGTGGTTTTATCATAATACTCGAGGTAAATTTGAATTGTTCTTGCTGTTATGGACACAATATTCGAGGAATGTTAACAGTATATTGTCACTATGCAGTGTCCGTCACTTGTCTGGCCAATTTCCAAGCCAAACACACCACCCTAGGGGTTAGGGAATTTAGACAGTACGTGTAATGACCATTAGAGTTGATCTTCATTCAAGTTGATTCAAATGAACACATTGATATGCATGATAAACAGAACATAGTCTGCTCATCCAAACTAAGGTGAGACTTAATGCCATGCTTGTGTAGTTTACTTCATAGGGTCATGGTGAGATAGGAAATGTATAAAGCCTAACAAGCACGCGATGCTCCCTTTGGCGAATTATTCATTTCTTATGAAGAATTCAGCAGTATCACGAGGAAGCTGCACAGGAAATGCAGGTATGCCTGAGCTGAGGACTAACAAAAGAGATTAAGATGTCATTGCTTACGACATATATGAATTCGTGCATAAGCACTAAGCACGTCGATGTCATTTTGATATGGATTGAATCATCCAATCAACACTAACAATTTGTTTGCCATTTGAGAGGATATGCTCCCTCAACGTTAGAATGTGTACGATTCAGCTCATATTGTACTCTCTTTTTCGTATTAGGAAAATGAACATTTGATTCGCTTATTAAATTTTCATTGAAGACATAGAGTGAGACAAACTAATGCAATTTGATTTTATTCAGAACAGAGACTACATTTCAGTACCACAGTCCAAACAGCAGAAATGGTGACACTACATTTCTGTACCACTGAATTTTGCCAAGGGCTTGAGGAAAGAATAGAACCATTTAGCAGACTTCTTTGGATAGCGCTCGTGATTGTCTAGATAATCCACATAGTTTAGCCCAAACCTTACTTCGTATCCTTCTCCTACTTCCATATTGTCCATCAGTGTCCACACGAAATATCCATTCACATTCGCTCCCTTCCTGCACTCACAAAAACACACACATTTACATGATCATGATTCATGAACTAGTTTGGTTTGGTATGTTCCAAGCCACTAAACATCCTAGAATAGAGCAAATGATGAGTTCCATTTCTCTATCTACAGTAAAACTAGTCATTGAGTAAACTAGGACACCTATCCCACAAATGTATGTCACAGTGCTTGTCCTGAGATCTCCATTAGTACTTCATTAGTACCACCAATGATGTCTTTAACACCATGACCTTGTCGAAGAGACGAATAACATGTTTTCTGTGCTATAAATGCAGAGATAGGCTTAAAACCAATACCACCTCCTAAACCAATACTCTGATACCATATTAAAATACTAATTGTCCCAAAAGTTAGTTGTTAAGGAACATGTCTAACACAGTGTATACCTTATTGCTTCGTGAACAGCACGTAGATGATTACGAATGTGATCAATCCGGTACTCATCGTTTAACACTTTATCCATTTCTTCTTTTTTCCCAGCTGCTTCTGCTTCCTTCACTGAAACTGTGATGGAGGGCTTTGAAGGAACCCCTGTTAAGATTGTAACACAAGTGTAGTATATTACTGACCAGTCTGACCTTAACCATTAATCCTTACTGCAAAAATAACGAAACTACAACAACTAACTTAAAAAACTGCTAACCATTCTCGGTGATGTAGAGCTTAGGGTCTTTGTATTGTTTTTTCAGATATATCAGCAAATCCCTCAGCCCTTCCGGATAAATGTAAATCTTGTCACTCCCATCAGCCTGCACTTGAATTCCATTAGTTGATGAAAGCATAAAAAAGATTTACATTAATTTTTTTTACAGACAAGTGATATTCAAAATATACAAAATTACAATTAAAGGGCTTATGGTCTTACCAAGAGCCCAATATGCTTTCCATCTCTGTCCACTGTGAAAAAAAAAAAAAAAATCAAGCCATGGGAGAGGAAATTTTATATTAGTGGCTTATACCAATATCAATCAAAAGGGTTGTTCCCATAGAATTCGAATCGCACTGTACTAGAAATATATTTACTAATTCAGTTTCAGTGACTCAATGCAAGTACAGAGATCAGTATTAGAAATGTACCTTTCTCCTCAATATATTCAAGCTTGGTGTGGCCTTTTTCCAAGTCAATAGTGCACTGCTTAACAGGTCTTGCATATCTTGAAGTATAGTAATTGACTCCAATAAAATCATAGGCACCTTTCACTAATTTTTTCTCCTCTTCGGAGAATTCAGGAAGTCCATGCACCCACTCCTTCATTGCAGCCGGATAATCACCATAACACAAGGGATCCATGTACCTAATTAACCACAAAAGCACAAAGAAAAACAGCATCATGTGAAGATAATATAGTGAACATGTTATCATTTTCATTGTTTTTCTTTTTGATTAACGGAAATGCACAAATTACCATCCTACGACAAAGTCTGCAGCAGTCTTTGCAGCATCATGATCCATAGGGTCCATGGTGTGTGGCTCAAACCACTTGCATACCAATGAAAGTCCGATTTCTCCACCTTGTGTGGCCTAAGATATAACAAACCGAACAATACTAAAATGCACAAATCTACCAAAATATGCTATAATCTACCGATTGAAAGGAAAAATAACCCATAAAAACCTGCAATTCTGATAGCCTCATTGTTGTCGAAAAATTATTACCTTGTACTTCTCTCTGTAGGCCTTTGTAGCAGCAGCATGGGCTAATATGATGTTATGTGTCGCGATATATGGAGCCATCGGATCATTCTTCTTCTCCTGAGGCAAGCCCATCTTAAATCCATATGCACCATAAACAAATGGTTCATTGATTGTAGTCCAATGCTTAACTCGATCACCAAATTTTTCAAAACAAAGCTCGGCATAGTCTTTGAAATCATTTCTGCAGAATAAAAAGCATATGTGGACTTAAAACTGTTTTCTTAGGGAACCTTTTGGCGTCTAATTAATTAAAACTAAGCAGAATGCTTACACAATCTTCTTGTCTAAGAAGCCATTATATGATTCTTGCAGAGTTACAGGTAGGTCAAAGTGAAATAATGTCGCGAAAGGTGTTATTCCTTCATGCATAAGAAGAAATTTAAATTGACGAGTTAAACAAGTTAATCAAGAAAATGTAAAATCAAACAATCTCACAATAATCATCGGCAGAGCACATTAAAATGGACACGTTCATACCATTTCTGAGTAGCTCATCTATAAACCTGTTGTAGAAATCGATACCTTCTTGGTTTATTCCATCTTTAATGGTTCCCTCTGCATTTTAGAACAACATTACCAACCATAAAATTGTCCATGAAATTTTTTGTATTACTTTCTTTTGAAATAACAAATTAAGATGATAGATATTCGTGGATGTGTAAGGTAGTAGATCGTTAGGGATATCATTTTAGAGGGAGAGAGAATAGGATGAGCATACTTGGTAAAATTCGAGGCCAAGCAATGGAGAATCTGTAAGAATCCATTCCCATGTCCTTCAACAGCTTCACATCATCCTGCATATCACAACAATAGCATTATTTGTGATTACAGCATGTCATCACAATTCACAACTTAGGCATCAACACACAAAATCACGGTTAATTAAGTAATTAACTTAAATAAGCCCTATATCCAAATTGTTTGTTAGTCATGCTATGTATCCATTCTCACCATTCAACCATATTTAGAATCACATCCTTTGTTACATCGTCCGGAAAAAAAATAAAAGAAAAGAAAAAAAAGCGTATGTACTCCAGCATTTTACGACTCATGTTTATTAGATTGGATTACAAACTATAACATGACCTCATTGCTATCTTATTTATTTTAATCCTCATTCTTTCTGCAGGCTATATAATATAGACTAGAAAGAACCAATATCAAAGGACTTGACTAGTATCAAGTAGAATCACAATTCACAAATACATATATAATATTTTAATCCTCCTCTTTTTTTCTTTTCTTTTTTATCTTCCTGCCTTCTTCTTCTTCTTCTTTGTGTTTGTGGCTAAGATCAATTTTTATTTTTTTTGCAGACTATATAATATATACTAGACAGAACAAATATCAGAGGACTTGACTAGAATCAAGTAGAATCACAATTCACAAATACACACACATAAATATACACAAATATATAATTTTAGTCCTTTTTTTAATGCAAAAATTCCTTCTTCTTTTTTTCTCTCTTTGCTTTTGGCTAAAACCACTTCATCTAATAGTATCTACTTACTTGGTAACGGTTGTATGAATCAACTGCTTTCTTGCCCTTGTGGGCTTCAATCATGAAGTCCCAAGTGCTCCTTCCTCTCCCTCCTTCATTGCCAGCTCCTTCAGTCTGTAGCACCAAACAATTAAACCATTCCATAAATGATGTATGAATGTGTTTCCACACACACACACAAAATGGAGGGAGTGAGAGAAACCTGAAGAGCAGAAGTGGAGGCACCAAACTTGAAATCAAGAGGGAAGTCATCCCTTGTTAGGTCATGTGTTGTCGAAGAGGGCGAGAGCTTGACATCGCTACGAGTATCAATTAGGGTTGTATGAGGTTTGATCTCTCCTTTCAAGCATTTCACAGTGAGATGGTGATGATAACCCCTCTTAATAGAAGGCACTCTCACCTGTCCACCAACAAGGACCTTGTTCTCATTACCAAAGGGAGATAATGGAGGAAAAGCACTACATTTGAACAAAGAAGCAGCATCAAGAAGAGCCATTTTTTTTTTTCAAAGGACACACAGAAAGAAGCAAGAGAAGGCTTGTGCTTGAACTTTCTCTCACTTGAGAAGGTGGCTATTTATAGAGCGGATGGATGTCATCAAATATTACACACACACACACACACACGTGTATATATGATAAGTATGATCAAAATGACATCATGTTTGTTATTTAGTTCTCAATAGGCTTCATTTTTAATTTTAGTCATTACTTCCCATTTGCTGCATAATTCAAGGATAAAGAGACAAGTGACATATTGTATGTTTGCTATCTTCTTATTTGTTAAAAAAAATAATAATAATAAAATTTAAAAAAATAAAAATAAAATACCTTTATTTATACACACATATATATATATGTATGTGTTTGTGTGTCTGTGTGAAATTGCTATACATATATGGAAAATAATTTTATATCCACAAACTATAGTTACATGCATGATTTTGAAATAAGAATGTAATAAGCATTGATTTGTGTTGGATGATAAGAAAACTAATACTTGACTATTTGCATCATTTTTTTTTGGGAATTATGTTTGCATAATTACTTGGAGATCCAATTATAATATGGACACCAAAATAAATAAATAAACTATGTGCAGAACCATTGTGATTGATCCAACTGAAGGTCTTCTACATTAATGTGATCGATTTCCCAACTCTCTAACCTCTTCTCAATTAATACAATGAATGGGCACCAGAAATTGTGGATCATTGGTCAATAGTGTTTGCTAGCTAACTAAAATGTGGATCATTTGTTCTTTCCCAATGCCTAACTTTTTCAATTTTCTATTTTCCTCTCTAGATCCCTCCTTGGAACTTATGAGTATCTTTTAAAAAATATATTGATAGAGATACTTCATTAACAATATATATATATATATATTATAAAGTAATGTTACTATGTCGGAATTAATTTTTTTTCTTACTAAAATTTCAATAAGTGTCCACCGAAGACTGTTACAAAGTAATTAAAAAAATTAGTATATCTGTTTAGTTTCATGATTAACATATCAATCGGTAATAAAACCGCTATATTCTTAATAAATAATTTTTATACTATTTTTTTTGAAGACTCGAACTCTCTACATTTCAAAGTGAAAGGAGAGGAAATACGTGACAGTTTGCATTCCATGAGTTTAAGGTTGTATGTATGTAAAAATAATTCTGCTAATTTGAGGTCAGAGAATGATCACTTTTTATATAAATACTAAATTATAATTATTTAATGTGTCAATGGCGATTTCATATTAAATTTCATGACAATTCGAACAATTCGAACTAATATTCATGACAATTCCTTTTTATTTTTTTTTTGGGACAATCATTGATATGGAAGCAAAAGTAATAAAAAAAAATCTTTATATAGAAGACTTCATTCATAGGAGATGAAGATTTCAAGTTGTGTTACCATCGTTATCTAAGTGTGAAAAATTATGACCATTATAATGCTTGCACCTATTATTAACATTAGTGTGAGGTATCTTTTTTCTACCAATTACACGTGCATGACCTTTAATTATTACTCTTTTTTTATGCACAAAAATGGCTCTACAACCAACTAATTCAACTCAAAAGAAAAATATATACAGTGTATATATATATATATGAAGCTCCCATCTCCCAAAGAGAAATCTGAGGGTTCTAGTTCCATAAAAATTAATTTCTTATCAAGATGAAATAAATAAATAAATAAAAAATCTCTAACTTCATTTTGCAATTAATACATCCTCTTAAGCCTTGTCCTATTGAACTATCCAATATATATTGCCAAATAAATTTACAAGAGAAGGACGCAGAGGAATAGCTTATAACATATATAAAATATATACAAGAATCGTGATCTCTTCTTATTAAGTACAAAATTAAAAAAATATATTATATAATTTATTCGACCTTTTACACGTCTCAAAAATTATTTCAATTTAAAAATCGGTGAATCTTGTCATGAGTGAGCTTTCTTGGTTTATTGTTAAAGGTAAAGCAAGGACAGTTTTTTTTTTTTTTTTTCCTTCAAAAGATGCATCACTGTACAAAATGTAACAAATGTAGCTTTTGCCATTTGATTTTGTTTTTCACGAATTTTACAACAAAAATAAGAAACAAAAATAATTGTAAACATGTTAATTTTGTTCAAATGAGTTTTGGAAAAAAAAAAAAAAAAAAAAAAACCTTTTAAACTAAATTACTACTATTATTTTGGAGCTAGATTAAAGTTTTTAGAAAAAAATTAAATGGTAAAGTTGAAATTTTAAAACTAATATAGAAATATTTATTAAATAATCTTTTTAAAGCTTCACTGGATTTTTATAAAACTTATTAGTAATATCGCAGCATTTCGTATCGTAGAAAGTTTGGGCCTTCCTGAATATAATCAGAGTCATCTTCCAAACTTTTCCAGGCACCGATCTCCGTTAGCGGTAAGACCTTCTCTCTCTATATACACACAGTTACACACACATTTTTATATGTATACACACGCACACACGAGAATAATGATATACAGTATGATGATTATTGAACGGATCTGATGTTGTCACTTATTTGTGCTATTGACTCGGAATTAGGGCTGATTTAGCAAATGAAAATTGTAGTTCAGACCTTTATTGATAACTTTGGTAGATTTTTCGTGAGTTTATGATTTCTTTCGACATTTGATCATTCGTTTTACTTGTTACGATTCGAGCCCTTGCTGTTATCACTTTTGAAAGCAAAATTTTTCTTTGTCGTTAATATATATATTGATTGTTTACTTGTTAGATAAATATCAATATCATACGATTCTAAGTATATGTGCAGTTTGCTTATTGCATAGCAACACAACAGCAAATGTAATTTGCCCACACAACAAATTGGCCTTTCGCCTTAATTTTTTTTTTGGGGAAACTTTGCTCCGGTACAAAATTGAGAAAATTAAAGGGTTAAATTGAAATCTTTCTGTTTTTATTTCTTTAAATTTTTTTCCTGGGTATATTTTGATAGTTTTATGCATTTTTGTTGCATTTTCACTTATCATAGACATTTTTCTCCATAAACAACTTATTATTGATATTGCCCGAAATAATTGGTATTTGAGTCATGTTCAGTGTTTTTTTTTTGTTTTTTTTTTTTTGAAGAAATGAAAAGAATTCTAGAATTGTTGGTGTAAGAGGCTTGTTTATGTTGTATAAGTAAAGATAGACTTTGGGAATGCACGGGGCAGGTGAGCTAAGATTGAAGATTGTAGAGTGAGAACGGGTGCTAGAGTGGCAATTTCTTAAAAATATGTGATTCTGAGCGCCTTCAAAGCTATGTACTATGTTCATGTTTATTTACATACTAAAACAATAATTCAGACCTGATTGAAACAAATACCATAAGCAGCTTAGTGGTTCTTTGAGGTGGTGGTCAGCCACTGGTAATTGTTATTTGGTTCAATCCTCTCCAACAAAACAACAATTATCAGCTACATGTGCACGCTGTAAGTCCCGTACTTCTAAGTTAGAGTATTCAACTTGACTCTGAAAAGCGCAAAGAAAAACTCATTTACTGCCGATTCGTGGTTTTGCTCACATTCAATAGTCTGACCTAGTTGAATTGCATTGTGCCGCAATTTTTGCCTCTGATGCTATAATCCAGAAATTAGAGAGGTCAGAGGAGTTTGCCCCTCTATCCATGGATTGAGTATCCTAGTAGGTGATTTGAGTCAACGACTTCAACTCTAAACTAAAAATCAGTTGGTGGATTCTTAGTGTAAATCCATCCACCCACCCCCCCTCTCAACCCAAATAAATAAATAAATAATAAAATCACAATTAGACTCAGAGACTGTTATTTAAACCTAGTCCCTACAAATGTCCCATATCACCTTTGTAAATTTAGTTTTCAAGTTTTGTCTTGTTGTCATGCTTGTTCTAATGTTAATACATATACTTGATTTTGTATAATGTGCCTCAAAAAGAAGAAACAAATTGGAAAAATTTCTGGAGTAGAACTTCTGATTTAGCATATTATGCTTGCATTACATATTCTTTCTTATACCTTATATTATATATTTGGAAAGTGGAAATTGAAAGCCAATTTCGTGCTACATTTTTTGCTTCTTAATGCGCTTCTCTCTCTCTAGATTTACATGTTACTAACACGAAGATCTAATTCATAAATCTCAAGGAATGTATGCAAACTTTTATTTTGAAAGTTTGATTGTTCATTCAAGTTATGATTTGTGTTTGTTTGTCATGATTAATGTTGATGTTACTTTGATTGCTTTGGTATTCTAACACTCAATTTTGGGGATGTGTTTAAAGGAAAGTTTCATTTCTTTGGTTTTCTTTTAGTTTCTTGAAATTTGAAAACAATTTGATGCTCTTAATCATGAAAAGTACTTTTGGATGAATCATGAAAAGTACTTTTGGATGAATCAGAAGATCAAGAGAGAGAATTATGGAGGCATCAAGAGCTGTAGAGTGGTGTAAGGTTTGAAATAAATACTACTGTATTTAAAATTCGGAAGCTTCAAGGGCTGTAGGGTGTGAAATTTACGTAGGACTTGTTTTGCTTACTAAAATGTACTACTGGATTAATTACATGATGGAGAGGAAGAAATATGCTACTTTTTTAGCACAGGCTGGAATGTCTCTTTTGCCTAAGCAATACAACAGTTGACTGGCATGTTCATTTTCATTATATATAACGTCGTCTTTGTATAGGGCCCACTATTTAGCCTATGTTTTTCTTTTATATACGGCAAAAAGCTACAGAGATCTTTGATCTATGTAGTTCTTAAGTGTTTAACTTCATTTAATATATTTTCATCACCCCTTCTCAAGTTTGCCTTCTTTTATTAGACTTAAAGAAAACTATGAGACCGAAACTGAGACTCTAATTTGAGTTGTGCTAGGTCGTCATCTAGACCTAGAGGGGGATTAATAGGTCCTACTAGATTATTATGGTATTTTAACTAATTTCTTAAATCAAAGTATGAAACTGAAATTGAAAACTATACTAACACAAATATTATCAATCATCATGGTGTTTGTCATGTATGCAATAAAACGGTAAATAAAGATATTATATACCACATTTTACATGGAAAGCCCAAATGGGAAAAGTCATGGGACACAATCGGGCAGAAAGAGGTTGCAGACCGAGTTACCAGAATCTAATACCAAGAATCACCTGTCCCTCTTGATTTAGACTTACGCAAGACCAATACCAGATATTCCAGCAGCTGATTCGTCCACAGAGTTCGTTCCTCACAAACTCTACTTCTTACTGGATTTTCTATCTCCTTTCCAGTAACGTCCTACAGTGTGCATAGATTTATTATTGAACTCCTTTAACCATGAGAACTGATTCTTCAACAACCTATGGACCCACTCGCATATGATGATGGATGCAAAACACAAATTGAGTTGTAAGATTATCTTTTTGCCCTTGCACTTGAATTCCATATCTTTCCTTGGACAAGGTACTAACTTAACTACCTAGACTGACTAAAATAAATGAATACATATATACTCTGGTTTGATCACAAAATTTCCAACCTAAATTCCATGTCCTAACAAACTTCTATTTGCTTTTGTACATTTGACGTTGTATTTTTTTCTTTTTGTGTCTGAATTTTAATAACAACCGTTGCAGAGGCATTTGAGCAGCAGTAGTAATATATGGCTTCCTTCCGAGCATTCTTGAACAGTCCAGTTGGCCCCAAAACAACTCACTTTTGGGGTCCTGTAGCCAACTGGGGATTCGTTGCTGCGGTAGGCTTTACTACTATAAATTGATATTTTCACTTATTGCATAGTCATTTACTGTAGATTTCACAAACTTCGAATTGGGCACTCTAAATGAATTTTTTATTTCAAATTATAATTGGTGGATTTGGCAGGGATTGGTGGATATGCAGAAACCCCCAGAAATGATATCTGGCAACATGACTGCAGGTTGTTTTCTACCTTTGCTATGACTTTTTAATAATATTTGGTTTGAAAAAAAATAAAGACAGTACCTTAATAAGATTCTTGAGATACTGAGTATCTTATATTGTGCTGCAGCAATGTGCGTATATTCAGCCTTGTTCATGAGGTTTGCATGGATGGTGCAGCCTCGCAACTATTTACTTTTAGCTTGCCATGTCTCAAATGAGTCAGTGCAGCTCTATCAACTCTCCCGTTGGGCAAAGGGTCAGGGGTAAGTAATTGAGGATGTTATTTCTATTGCATGTTTACGTGGGTTCCCAAGCTGATTTTATTCCATGGTTACGGTCACCCTTCTATTTGTGCCTTCTCCAAATTTAGATTGCTGTTCAAATTAGTGAAGCTATTTCAGTCTAGTTCGATCTAACAAAAATGGAATCAGGCTCTGTAGGATTTGAACCTAAGACATTGGGTTTTGAAATGCTTCTTTCAATGACACTGATAGATCAAATGTAGGCACCCCCTGGCATGCCCCCAATCCAGAATTCCCAAACTAAGCCTCACTTCTGCACAAGACAATGCCAGAGCAATATGATGCTCTCACATTACAGCAAAGTTGATCGCAAACAGTCTAATGGTTAGACCAAGTAAAATTGTGTGCCTGTCAATGGGTCAGTTTGTCAATTAGGCTGAGTCGCTAAGATTGGAAGCAGCCAGTTATTAATGCTCAACCTGTCTTGGGCACTGCAGTGAGTTTTCCGGGATTCATGGGAAGGGTATGAATGGAGAAAAATGCAACTAACAGAATCTCTTTTTAGTATTTATGCATTTTTTGAATTTTAAACTTTTATGTATGGCTTTGACATTTTAGAACATTTCCTTTTGTTAATTGAAATGTTTATATAGTGATAGATTCCTACTGCTAAATTAGCAGGTACCTTCGAAGTTCGAACATCACCTAAATCTGCATTCGCTAGAACACTTTTTTAAATCAAGAAACTGCCCCTTTGGAACTCTTAAAACTGTTTCAATTAACTATTGTGCCCATCTGTTTAACTATTGTGTACATGCGTAAATGTTTGCCCTAGAGATGCATTCTACACCACACCTTAATTTTAATACCCTCGCGTACTTAATGATAGGTACTTGCAACAGAAGAAAGAAGAAGGTGCATCTCAGTAACTCAGTGTTGCTTCTCTTCTACCCCGGTTTCGGTGATTTTTGTGGTGGTTGCTAACTTGCTACAGATTCTGTAGGAACTCTTAAAACAGTTTGTATCTGATTTAAGTTCTGAGTGCTTGCATAACTTAGCACATCAATTTTAAGTATCATTTTGTTGTTTGTATTGCACCAATAATGTCAGAATCAAATATTAAACACGATAAACCTGCAAAAGGTTGAAGAGATTTTAGCTATAAGATGAGAAGCATTCACCATGAAGAAAGCATGCATAAGAAGAGAGTATATAAGTTGTATATTATCAATATGTGCAAGTAGTTTATAAATTTATTTTGGATAAACTACTTTTTTGCTTTCCTTTTCTTCAAGTAAAATTATAGACTTCCCCCTATGTATTCAATAATCCCACTCTCCTGTTAGACCTTATAGCTGAGTATTGGGAAGTTTGTGATGTTACTAGTTCTTCCAGGTATGTAGTTTTTCTATTACCTTTAAACCCATTCAAGAGTGAAAACAACACCTTGTAAGTACAATATATGCTATTCACTGCAAATGGTCGAGCCCTAAATAAAGCGGGGGCGGCAAAATCTAAGCTACGCAGTGTGGGGTGGAGTGGGAGTGAGACTGTTTACAGAGCATGAAATGGGAACGTGTTCAGAACACGAGAGTGATACCCCGTTTAGAAAATTGTGTGACTTAGATCAAGCCATCTTTATTAATTTTCTTTTAATTTTTATTACATTAACTCTTCATTTCCAGTATGATCTTTGTCCCGTCTCGCAATTTGCTTAAGCTCATTTTATGGCTCTAATTGTTTTGTAGAATATACCTTCCAATTTAGGTGAATACCGCCAAAGTGAGGTGGAATATATCTTTCGTGGTATTTTTTCTGGTTTCAAAGCGAAAAATTGTATTTTCTCTTATTTCAAAGTGAAAAGTAGAGGGTAAAAAATCTCTCTAAGTACATTGTCGGAGTTAATTGTCAAGACACAAATAATAATAATAATAATAATAATAAATAAAATAACTTCTCCCTATACCTCATTTTTGCTTAAGTTTAATGGGTTCCTCCTTGTAAATAATGGGACCTAAATAATATATATATATATATATATATATATATATATATATATATTGAGTCACAATACTCTTGCATTTGACTACATGTTTACTTATATTATGTATCTATTTTTGTTAAAATTAAATTTAATACACTCCTTTAGTCTGCAAGTAAACTTACTGCTATATATAGTACAGTGCAAAAGAAAAGAAAGGATAATATTAATTATGAGAGGAGGGAACAAAAAAGAGAATGAAAGAATAGTATTAAACAGTTATCATGTGATGAATAAAAGAAAATAAAGGAGATGATAATAATAATTTTTTAGAAAAGAAATTAAATAAAATTATTTTAATTAAATTACTATCGGTTCCTATAAATTTTGTCTTATAGAAGTAAGAGCAAATTTGATATTTATAAATTTTTTTATTAAAATGCTAATATTTTCTTTCATTTTTTTTTTAAAATTTTTTTCTAGAGATACCAAAAATACTCATTGGCCATTATTAATTGGTTAGAGGCACGTTTGGCCCTCATTTTGGTACGCGGCTCGTCATTTGGTGGGTCTCATACCAATATCGTCACCGCGGTATGGTATCATGTCTTTGGCTCTATATTTTTAATAATTAATATATAAAATTATAGAATTAAATCCTCTGTATATAATAAACTCAACTGACAACAAGTAAATTATATATTTTTTAATTTCAATTCTAATGCATCAATTAAGTGATTTTAAATATAGTTTGAAAGTTTATCTTTATTTGGTTGGAGGTTTGTTCAAGCAAAAAAAAAAAAAAAAAAAAACTCCCCGTGCTCCATTCATAAATCAAATTACAGAATTAACCTTTAGCATGTCTGATTTGTCTTCCTTCCTTGTCTTTCCCAAACGGCAATCACTGAATAACTGCTAACAAAACCAGATTGAAATCTATATAGATTGAGACTAAACTCTAGGAGTTCTTCAAAATTATAAGTGATCATGATTCTTTGAGTTATAAACGTCGTTTAAAAAGTTTACAACTTCATTGCCACGAATTCTCATTCACTTTAACATTATTAATACAGAGAAATTATAACCGAATCACCAAATCTTTAATCATCACCATTTTCTTTGTCTTAATCCTATATAAATGGAGTTGGCCAAGTAAATTCTCTATTTGCAATTTTTTTTATTACATATTATTTCATCTATAATAAATATCATCTCACAAAGCCTTTTCTTTAATTCCAGTATGTTAGTGGTTCACAATTTCTGGTGAGTGTTTTTCATTATTATTGGAACACTTTGATTCTAAAAATAAAAGAATAATAATAATAATAATAAAATCAAACTAATTAAAAAGTATTAGAGGTTTCCATTTTTTCTTCATAGAAAGGAAGCAATCCATCTCATGTTTTATGACTTTTTAGAATTTAAATTCTATAATTATGATATTTGCGGTACATTGTAATTTGTTATAGAATAAAATTTGTCACACATTTATCATGAAATATTTTTCACATTTTATTGCGAGGAAGTCTAATTGTTTTTTTTTAAAAAAAAACTCAATATATACATCTAAATCATTTTATAGATTATTTCTTCTTTAATGCTTTCATAAATTGGAATATTAGAGGAAATTAAAGGTATATTTTAATAAAGACTCTAAAGCCTATTTTGCTGTGCATGTGAATGTGGTAGACAGTGAGAAAAAAAAAAAAAAATTCGTATTAATGAACTTTCATTTCTGGTTTCCAATACGAATTGAACTATTTCTAAGTTATTTTGATATTGAAATTTTGTATAGATTCATTAAGCCTTTATATATATATATATATATATATATATATATATATATATATATAAACTCATTAAGCTAACATTACTATAATTTTTACAATTTTGAACATTTTTCATCTTGGAACTAAAATAATTTTGCTCCTTAAACATTTGTTTTGTTCTTGTTAAACAATCTTATTTAACATCAACTTCTAACCCAAGACCGATAGTACTGTGTAGCCCAGCCCAGACCAATCCAGCCCAGCCCAGACTAACCCAACTCACCCTAATATATATATATATATAAACTCATTAAGCTAACATTACTATAATTTTTACAATTTTGAACATTTTTCATCTTGGAACTAAAATAATTTTGCTCCTTAAACATTTGTTTTGTTCTTGTTAAACAATCTTATTTAACATCAACTTCTAACCCAAGACCGATAGTACTGTGTAGCCCAGCCCAGACCAATCCAGCCCAGCACAGACTAACCCAACCCACCCTAATAACTTCTCTTACTTTTTCTCTGCAAAGGAGAGGGAAAGAGAGCACAAAGTAGAAGATGCCACGAACGACTACGTTGGAGTGCCCTGGTTGTCCTCCTATTCGAGCCCTAACTTTCGATGTTCTTGGTCTCGTTAAAGGTAATACTGATACATACCCGCTTCGTATATCTATGGTTTCAATCTAATTTATCAGATACACTTCTGATTTTATATATATATATGTATACATAATATATTCTCATGCATTTTTGGGTATGATTGATTATTTACAGCTGTGGAAGCTCACGGTAAAGAAGGGGGAGTTCCTAGAGTGGTTGAGAGATGGGGAGAGCCAAACCCCGCCGGTTGTGTGCTCGCCGCCTCGATCAATGACCGTAAAACTGACCCTGTATGTTTTGGATTGTGTTTATATATGTGTTTAAACTGTATTACAGTTCTATGTTCTTATTTATTTGTTCTTTTCATGAATAGGATAGTTCTATATTGTTATTCAATCTGCTATAGTGTTGATTTTTAGTTAAAGTTCATCTATATATATATATATATATATATATATATTACATGTTTAATTCCTCTATTGGAATTGGTAATTTCGGTCATTCATTCATGATACGGTAATAGATTTAACATTGTACAGGTGACTTCTTTTGGACCATCTCATAAAGTTACAATTTTTAGGAACAAGAATTTTAGAAGTACTTAAAAGATTGCAGATTCAAATAAGTGGAAACGGCTAAATTCAATTATTTGAATGAAAGAAAATGTGAATGCAGATTCCCAATTTGAATCCAAACTATATATTTAGCATTGTGCTGCTATAGTGTTGGTCTTTAGTTAAAGATTGCATATTTTGATAAAACATGCAATTTGTCTGTTGGAATAAAAAATTCTGTCACTTTCCATGATATGCTTTGATCTCACTTTTTTCTCTTGCTTGGCATGATAATTTTGATTCTCTAGTTGATGACAATATGTTGACCACTAAAATATTGATGTATTAGAATTTTGACCTTTTTCATTTGTTGCAGTTGTTAGCTGTTGCAAGAAAAAGTGGTTTGGTGAGTTCCTTCTCGAAACTATGAAAACTTAGATCACATTTGATTCTTAGTTATTATTTATGATTTATGTTTAGTAGTTCCTTTGATTGATACTTTGTGTATAATATTTATTAAACAGATTGAGGTGCTTAGTCCTATTAACGGTGATCTTCGTGTTTCAATTTCCAACGCTGGAACTGCTGACAGTCGGCCTGGAGATGATGGTATCATTGGGTTGCATATGTTCAGGAAACAGAAATCGGAGTTGTCATCCGGGTATTTTCTGGACTTCACTTCTGGTATCTTAATACCCAATGATTCTCTCTTTACTTTTTAGGTTGCTCTGCTCTTTTGCTGTATGCATGCATGTGACAATGTAACTTTTGATTGCATGGTCTCCTAGATTTTAATGTTTATTGAGTTTATATATGTCATTGGTCTACATGCCTTTTCCCACTTCCATGCGGATTCCAATAGATCTATGTATTATTAGACCACTAGCTATTTGGATTTTGTAGTCAAGGCTGCTCCTTCTTTCTTTATTTTCTCATGTATTTTTAGGGTTTTTTTTTTTCTTAGGTCATATTTTATATATGTATGTTTATTTTCCAAACCACCACAATGTATGCATAATGCAGTGTGAAGTTTTGAGATCTTCTCCATCCATTTGTTTTTTGTCTTGAATTAGGTCATGCACCTTGCTTACATGTACAACAAAAGGACTTGCAAGTGTGAGGTCCATTGACGTTCACAAATCACCAGTGGATTCAACCACTAATGGTTCTTCAACAATCTGGAATGTATGTGCCACCGGCGATATTCAATGTATGAAAGTGGATGGAAATGAAAACTATGCATTATTTGGAGGGTGAGTTTCTATATGTTTCATAACTCTA